TGCATGTGTATCATGCTGGTGCGTGTATATCATGTCAGGTGCGTGTGTATCATGTCAGGTGCGTGTGTATCATGCTGGTGCGTGTGTATCATGTCAGGTGCATGTGTATCATGTCAGGTGCATGTGTATCATGTCAGGTGCGTGTGTATCATGTCAGGTGCGTGTGTATCATGTCAGGTGCATGTGTATCATGTCAGGTTCATGTGTATCATGTCAGGTGCATGTGTATCATGCTGCTGCATGTGTATCATGCTGCTGCATGTGTATCATGTCAAGTGCATGTGTATCATGTCAGGTGCATGTGTATCATGTCAGGTGCATGTGTACCATGCTGTTGCATGTGTATCATGTCAAATGCATGTGTATCGTGCCAGGTGCATGTGTATCATGTCAAGTGCATGTGTATCATGTCAGGTGCATGGGTATCATGCTGGTGCGTGTATATCATGTCAGGTGCGTGTGTATCATGTCAAGTGCATGTGTATCATGTCAGGTGCATGTGTATCATGCTGCTGCATGTGTATCATGCTGCTGCATGTGTATCATGTCTAGTGCATGTGTATCATGTCAGGTGCATGTGTATCATGCTGGTGCGTGTATATCATGTCAGGTGCGTGTGTATCATGTCAGGTGCGTGTGTATCATGCTGGTGCGTGTGTATCATGTCAGGTGCGTGTGTATCATGTCAAGTGCATGTGTATCTTGCTGTTACATGTGTATCATGCTGGTGCGTGTATATCATGTCAGGTGCGTGTGTATCATGTCATTTGCGTGTGTATCATGTCAGGTGCGTGTGTATCATGTCAGGTGCATGTGTATCATGCTGCTGCATGTGTATAATGTCAAGTGCATGTGTATCATGTCAGGTGCATGTGTATCATGTCAAGTGCATGTGTATCATGTCAGTTGCATGTGTATCATGCTGCTGCATGTGTATCATGTCAAGTGCATGTGTATCATGTCAGGTGCATGTGTATCATGTCAAGTTCATGTGTATCATGTCAGGTGCATGTGTATCATGCTGCTGCATGTGTATCATGCTGCTGCATGTGTATCATGTCAAGTGCATGTGTATCATGTCAGGTGCATGTGTATCATGTCAAGTGCATGTGTATCTTGCTGGTACATGTGTATCATGCTGGTGCGTGTATATCATGTCAGGTGCGTGTGTATCATGTCAGTTGTGTGTGTATCATGTCAGGTGCGTGTGTATCATGTCAGGTGCGTGTGTATCATGTCAAGTGCATGTGTATCATGTCAGGTGCATGTGTACCATGCTGTTGCATGTGTATCATGTCAAATGCATGTGTATCATGCCAGGTGCATGTGTATCATGTCAAGTGCATGTGTATCATGTCAGGTGCATGGGTATCATGCTGGTGCGCGTGTATCATTTCAGGTCCGTGTGTATCATGTCAGGTGCGTGTGTATCATGCTGGTGCGTGTATATCATGTCAGGTGCGTGTGTATCATGTCAGGTGCATTTGTATCATGCTGGTGCGTGTGTATCATGTCAGGTGCATGTGTATCATGTCAGGTGCGTGTGTATCATGCTGGTGGGTGTGTATCATGTCAAGTGCATGTGTATCATGTCAGGTGCATGTATATCATGTCAAGTGCATGTGTATCATGTCAGATGCATGTGTATCATGCTGCTGCATGTGTATCATGCTGCTGCGTGTGTATCATGCTGCTGCATGTGTATCATGTCAACTGCATGTGTATCATGTCAGGTGCATGTGTATAATGTCAAGTGCATGTGTATCTTGCTGGTACATGTGTATCAAGCTGGTGCGTGTATATCATGTCGGGTGCGTGTGTATCATGTCAGGTGCGTGTGAATCATGTCAGGTGCATGTGTATCATGTCAGGTGCGTGTGTATCATGTCAGGTGCGTGTGTATCATGCTGGTGCATACGTATCATGTCAAGTGCATGTGTATGATGTGAGGTGCATGTGTATCATGTCAAGTGCATGTGTATCATGTCAGGTGCATGTGTATCATGCTGCTGCATGTGTATCATGTCAAGTGCATGTGTATCATGTCAGGTGCATGTTTATCATGTCAAGTGCATGTGTATCATGTCAGGGGCAGGTGTATCATGCTGGTGCGTGTATATCATGTCAGGTGCGTGTGTATCATGTCAGGTGCGTGTGTATCATGTCAGGTGCGTGTGTATCATGTCAGGTGCATGTGTATCATGCTGGTGCATGTGTATCATGTCAGGTGCGTGTGTATCATGTCAGGTGCGTGTGTATCATGCTGGTGCATGTGTATCATGTCAAGTGCATGTGTATGATGTGAGGTGCATGTGTATCATGTCAAGTGCATGTGTATCATGTCAGGTGCATGTGTATCATGCTGCTGCATGTGTATCATGTCAAGTGCATGTGTATCATGTCAGGTGCATGTGTATCATGCTGCTGCATGTGTATCATGTCAAGTGCATGTGTATCATGTCAGGTGCATGTGTATCATGTCAAGTGCATGTGTATCATGTCAGGGGCAGGTGTATCATGCTGGTGCGTGTATATCATGTCAGGTGCGTGTGTATCATGTCAGGTGCGTGTGTATCATGCTGGTGCGTGTGTATCATGTCAGGTGCGTGTGTTCCATGTCAGGTGCATGTGTATCATGCTGCTGCATGTGTATAATGTCAAGTGCATGTGTATCATGTCAGGTGCATGTGTATCATGTCAAGTGCATGTGTATCATGTCAGGTGCATGTGTATCATGCTGGTGCGTGTATATCATGTCAGGTGCGTGTGTATCATGTCAGGTGTGTGTGTATCATGCTGGTGCGTGTGTATCATGTCAGGTGCATGTGTATCATGTCAGGTGCATGTGTATCATGCTGGTGCATATGTATCATGTCAAGTGCATGTGTATCATGTCAGGTGCATGTGTATCATGTCAAGTTCATGTGTATCATGTCAGGTGCATGTGTATCATGCTGCTGCATGTGTATCATGCTGCTGCATGTGTATCATGTCAAGTGCATGTGTATCATGTCAGGTGCATGTGTATCATGTCAGGTGCATGTGTATCAAGTCAAGTGCACGTGTATCATGTCAGGTGCATGTGTACCATGCTGCTGCATGTGTATCATGTCAAATGCATGTGTATCATGCCAGGTGCATGTGTATCATGTCAAGTGCATGTGTATCATGTCAGGTGCATGTGTATCATGTCAAGTGCATGTGTATCTTGCTGTAACATGTGTATCATGCTGGTGCGTGTATATCATGTCAGGTGCGTGTGTATCATGTCAGGTGCGTGTGTATCATGTCAGGTGCGTGTGTATCATGTAAGGTGCGTGTGTATCATGCCGGGTGCATGTGTATCATGCTGCTGCATGTGTATAATGTCAAGTGCATGTGTATCATGTCAGGTGCATGTGTATCATGTCAAGTGCATGTGTATCATGTCAGGTGCATGTGTATCATGCTGGTGCGTGTATATCATGTCAGGTGCGTGTGTATCATGTCAGGTGCGTGTGTATCATGCTGGTGCGTGTGTATCATGTCAGGTGCGTGTGTATCATGTCAGGTGCATGTGTATCATGCTGGTGCATATGTATCATGTCAAGTGCATGTGTATCATGTCAGGTGCATGTGTATCATGTCAAGTTCATGTGTATCATGTCAGGTGCATGTGTATCATGCTGCTGCATGTGTATCATGCTGCTGCATGTGTATCATGCTGCTGCATGTGTATCATGTCAAGTGCATGTGTATCATGTCAGGTGCATGTGTATCATGTCAGGTGCATGTGTATCAAGTCAAGTGCACGTGTATCATGTCAGGTGCATGTGTACCATGCTGCTGCATGTGTATCATGTCAAATGCATGTGTATCATGCCAGGTGCATGTGTATCATGTCAAGTGCATGTGTATCATGTCAGGTGCATGTGTATCATGTCAAGTGCATGTGTATCTTGCTGTAACATGTGTATCATGCTGTGGCCTCCTTTGCTGGCCTCTGTGCATGCACGGGCTTGCAAAAACCCCTGCATTTGTGCCCATACAGCCCCCCATAAATAAACACTTTTTACATTTGACTTCTCATTTTTTTTGAGACACTCTTATAGAGCCCAGTCTGGTGTAGAACTTGTTGTGTAGCCTAGGCTAGCCTCACACTCATGATTCTCCTGCCTCTCAAGTGCTATGATTACAGACATTTGCCACCATATCTAACATATTACCTTTTTCTGCAGCGTTTGGCACCAACCGTAGGGCCTTGCCCATGACAGGCAGATGTTGTATAACTGCTCTGCATCCCCCGTCCAGTTTCCCACCTTTTTACTCTAATATTAATGCTAGTTGTCCATGAAGTTTTGTATATGTTATTTCATCTCCACATAAGTCCACTAAACTGACCCATTTTACAGATGAGAAAGCTGAGGTATAGAACAGTCAACTCACCTGAAGTTAACAGAACTAGTAAGTACGGAGTTAGGAAAGGAATTCAGTTCTCTGGCTTCAAATTCTGCTTGATAACCCAGCTGCCTATTCAAATAGTCACAGAGGGATGCGGGGTGGGGGAGAGGGGACAAGGCTCAGCACCAAAACTAAAGCAAGAGACTACACTGAAAGAATTGCCTGGTCCAAGCAGAAACTGATTCAAACGTGACTAGCTTTCCTGCTTTCTCATGAGATGTAACTTACGGAGTAAAGCTTATATTTCAGCCTTCTAGACATATAGTTTTATGATTACTTATTTTATGTGTATGAGTGCTTGGCGTGTGTGTGTGTGTGTGTGTGTGTGTGTGTGTGTGTGTGTGTGCGCGCGCGCCTGGTACCTATGGAGGTCAGATCTCGAACTGGAGTTCCACGTGGTTGTAAGTCACCATGTGGGAGATGGAAACTGAACCCCAGTCCTCTGCAAAAGCAACAAATTCTTTTAACCCCTGAGCCATCTCTCCAGCTCCAGAGCTCTTTTAATTTTTTTAAAAATGATACGTATTTCTTTAGGGGGATGTGTGTACCAGAGAGCACACATGGAGGTCAGAGGGCAACTTGCCAGGGCAGTTGGTTCTCTCCTCCACAATGTGGGTCCCAGGGATTAAACTCAGGTTGGCAGGCTTAATGGCAGATGCCTTTACCCCCTGAGCCATCCTTCTGGCCCCGGGTTAATGCGTTCTATGTGGCTAAACCAGGGACCTTGACCCAAGATTATCTGTTTGAGTTAAATATGGTTTTTCAGTTATCGTTTCCTACCTAAAAACCCAAAAGAAAAAAATCTGTCTTCTTGTCTCTTATTAGTGGGGTCAGTATCATAGATGGAGGAAGTGAAGGCTGGGCAGTGCAGCAGAGCGACAGTGTGTTTATGACTTCGGCTCACTGGAACCAGAAGCTGGGAGTTGTCTTTTCTGTTCAGATATTGACTGCTATTTCCAGCTCTTTGCATACTCTGAGTCTCATGTACTTCTGTATGTCCACGCTGTTATTATTAGGATAGTGAAGCCCAAAGTGGCCTCCATGGAGGATATGGCCACCTTCCACACTGATGCCTATCTGCAACATCTCCAAAAGGTCAGCCAAGAAGGTGATGAGGACCATCCGGACTCTATAGAATACGGACTAGGTAAGAGTCCCTCGGGCAACAGTGGGACCCCAGCTTGTAGATTATGGTACTTAATTTGTCTCTCTGTGTTTATGTAGAAGGATGTGTGTATGTGCAGTAGTGTGCTTGTGTCTGCTGGTACACACGTGGAACCAAAAGTCAGCACTGGGTGTCTTTTGTTTTGTTTCGTTTGAGACAAGGCTTCTCTGTGTAGCCCTGACTGTCCTGGACCTCCCTCTGTAGACTAGGCTGGGCTTGAACTCACAGAGATCCACCTGCCTCTGCCCCTGAGTGCTGGGATTAAAGGCATGTGCCACCACCACCTGGCTCTGGGTGTCTTCTTTAATCACTCACCACCTTACATTTTGAGGCTCTCACTGAACTTGAACTTCACCATTTTGACCAGGTTGGACGGCCAGTGGTCTCCAAGCATCTACTTGTCTCCACCCCTCCAGTGCTGGGGTTACACATTCATGCCTCGTGTGCCGGCTTTTACATGGATGCCAGGAATCTGAACTCAGGCCCTCATCCTTGTGTGCCAGGCATCTTACTGACTGAGCTACTTCCCTAACCCTTAATACTTGTTTCTTTTTTATCTTTAAGTTTTATGTGTACGCCTGTGTGCCTGAGTGTATGTGTGTACCACGTGCATGCAGTGCCAGTGGAGGTCAGAAGAGGCCGTAGAGCCCTTGGACCTGAAGTTAGAGATGTTTGGAAACTGCCATGTGGATTCTGAGAATTGAACCCAGGTCCCCTGGAAGAGTAAAAAAATGCTCTTAACTGCTAGCCACCTCTGTGGCCCGATACTTTTAAATTAAGAAATAATATAACTGATGCATGTGTGCACATGTGTCTGTATGTGTGTGTGTCTGTCTGTCTGTCTGTGCCTGTGTGTGTTATTGAGGGTGGAACCCAGGTCCTGGGATATGCTAATGAGGCACTCTGCCTTAGCTACATCTCAAGCCCCAACTGTTCATTTTAATCCCTCAGTCTGGTCATATTGTGAACACTCTATGAGTCGAACACAAGAGAACCATGAGACTGATGGAGAAGAATCGCTCAGTGCTAAGATTCTAAGGGCAGCACTTGGGGCTGCACTAGCTGTAGTGATCATATATTTTAAGTATTGACTTATTTGGTTTGAGGTTTTTTTTTTTAATTTTTCCAAGACAGGGTCTCACTGTAAAGCCCAGGCTGGCATGGAACTCACCTGCCTCTGCCTTCCAAGTGCTGGGATTAAAGGTATGCGTCACCATGCATGGCATTAGGTAAATGTTTAAATTCTGGCTAATTTTCCTACCTTATCCTTCATCAACAGATGCCTTAAAAAAATCACAGTGAATTGTCAACAGCATGGTCTAGTGCAGGTGTGTCCAGCTTGCAGCTCGTGGGCCACATGCCTCCCACGATAGCTATGAATAGGGCCCAACACATTTGTAGGCGACAGCAGCATACTGCGATGTCAAAGGCACCACTCTTCTAGAGAAACTGTGTGGCTTAAAGAAAGATACTAGGTGGGGCTATCAAAAGACCCGGTCCCAGGCCTGGCTCTGTGTGACCACTGGCAAAATACATCACCTCTCGGGCCTTGATGGACTGCTGGTGGGATATGAGAAGTTCATCTTGAAGGTTTTACCCTTTCTATTTCTAACCTTTGAAAGCCTTCCCTGTCTAACATTGGAGATGCTTATCTGTCCCCAGTGGAGCTGGTTTTAGCCCAGAACCTTCTTTAGGCTGTGCTGTTGACACAGCTTAACCTATTCTTCCTTCCCCAGATCTTCTTTAACAGATTTTTCTGGGTTCTGCCCCCAGGTTATGACTGCCCAGCCACAGAAGGAATATTTGACTATGCGGCTGCTGTGGGAGGAGCTACAATCACTGCTGCCCAGTGCCTGATTGACGGGAAGTGTAAAATAGCGATTAACTGGTCTGGAGGGTGGCATCACGCAAAGAAGTAAGGAAATGCCTTTCTGCCTTCTTACTCTTTCCCTGGTCAATCTCTCAGTTAGATAAACCTGTACACTTGTTATACTGATACTCAAGGGAACCACGAATATGTCTAGCGTTTTATAAGGAGTTCTGAAAAGATGCAAGTAAGATAAATGACCTAATGCAGTGGAAAACACTGAACTGAAAGTCAAGGCATCTGCGCGGTATGCCTAGTTTTCCTGCAAACTTGTCCAGACCTCCCTAGACCCCAGGTTCTTCATCAGGGACAGGGAAAAGGAAGTAGCTAGACAACCTACGCATTCCTTGGAAATTCCCTGTCTCAGGGACCTGGCTCTAGGAACAGGAACAGAATTCGAATAGTTAGAAGATAATATAAATTATGGTACTAAGGGAATATGTGTAGTATATAAGATAGATTGGCAGTCGGGAGAAGTTGATCATGGAGGTGTTGGGAGAGGAGCATGTCAGAGCCATTACTTGACAGAAGTAAGAAATGGGTGTTTGAATAAGTAGCTAATTGATGAGACTAGACATAGAACAAAAGGCTTCAAAAGAATCGAGGAAAGTGACAAGAACGACAAGGTCTTCTTCCGCATCTGCCATCTCATTTGCTCTGTTACTTAATACTTGCGAGGGAAGGGGGATTTTGAACTTATCAGTGTGCCTGCCGTCTGAGTGAAAGAAAGCGGCTGTCTTTCACAAATGGGGTGCAGCCAACCAAGACCTTGGTCTTCAGTAAAAAGGACCCAGCATTTGATTCCTTCAGACTGAAAGGCACTACAATTGTAGCGTGTGCAAATCTGCATAGTAGTATGCAATACTATTCTTTTCCAAATGGACAGATTTCTTGGCCAAAGAAGTCCTTGTAAAACTAAATAACTACAGTCTACTACCTAGACAATAGAAAACTGACGTCTTAGTAATGATTCCACATGGTCTTAAACAAAGAGAATAGCCCGCTTTTGTTAGCTTTTTTTTTTTTAAGTTCAAAATTAAAACAGGATCTTTTCTTATTAAAGCCAAAGAATAAAAAAGAAGAACAAGATTTTCTACATCCAGGACTTCTCTGTCCTTTGGGCACAGGGAGTAAGGGAGCCCTGTGGCTTCACGAGCGTGCTTGCTCTGGCAAGTGCGCTGTCATTTCCCGTTTCCCTTTGCTGCAGAAGACCTGCTAGGAGTTGGGGCACTTTCATACCTTGCCACTTCTTACCGCTGTGTTTCTGCCAGAGGCTGTACTTGGAGTGGAGTCAGTCTGGCTGCAGGTGTGAAGGTGCTCGCTTCATTAAGTGCTGAAGACAGCTTTCTGCTGATCCTGTCTGGAAACAGACAGACTGTAGTGATCGTAAATTAGTTTCTGGGCATTGACTTAAGTCAAGTCCGAATTCCAAGGTGTTCTTGACACCCCTAGAACAGGCTTATTAGTTTAGAAGCTAGGCGCTACCTATTATTGTTACTAGGAAATTTTGGGGAGCCCAACCTGGAGTGTCACATGTTACTGGGCAAATTGGGGTTTCCTCTTGAGTTTTAGTCCCACTAATTAAAGAATTTAAGAAGAGACTCAGGCCCCTGTGCTCAGGAGACAAAACAGGCAGACCTCTTAGTTCTGGTCTTGCTAGAGTTGCTTAGTGAGACTCTGTCTTTAAAAAAAGACTCAGTAGGAAGCCCGAGGACAATGACAATTTAATTAGTCTTTAAAAGAAAACCCTTAGGGCTGGAAAGCTGTAAATCTTGGTAGCTGCTAGGTAGCAGGAAAAAAAAAAGAAGAGAGAAAAATCATGCCTTTTGTAAACCACCACATGGAAGAAATCAGTGCTTAGGAGTCAGGGGTAGTAATAACTTCAGAGAAAAAGAGTGAGAAAGCCCAGAGTATCAGGAGAAGCATGTCTAGATTATGGCCAGCATCTGGGTGTATATGTGTATGTGTGTATACATATTCTCTCTCTCTTCTCTTCTCTTCTCTTCTCTTCTCTTCTCTTCTCTTCTCTTCTCTTCTCTTCTCTTCTCTTCTCTTCTCTTCTCTTCTCTCTCTCTCTCTCTCTCTCTCTCTCTCTCTCTCTGTGTGTGTGTGTGTGTGTGTGTGTGTGTGTGTATGTGTGTGTGTGTAGGGGGAGGGGAGGGGAGAAAAAGGAACAGTTATACTTATCTAAGTAATTCAGAAAAGCAAGCAGGCTTAACCCAGGGAAGGCTCCAGGAGCAACCATACCCAAGTGAGGTGGGAGGGTGGGATTTCTGGGATGGAAAGGAAAAGTACATCTTCTCATTGAGGGTGTGAATTGTTCCTCCCATTTGTTCAGCATGCCTAAGGTGGGCTCTAGGCCTTACTTTAATTACCTCTTTCATTTTAGTAGCTTGGACTGTTAAGTCTCCTGCCAGAGCCAGAACTTCTGGTTTCTTATCTCCACCAGATATCCCAACAGTCTCTGCTCTGAAGATGAAACCCTGACGTCATTTAGGAGATAGGCTGAAATTAAGGACTGGGTAGATCCAATATTTCCATCCTGAAAATCCAGAGCTCCAGTTCCAGAGCTGTCTGCCAGAAGCCCTTTAGAGTTGCGGAGTTCTGCTCACACCCACAGGGAAGCAAGGACACTCACTAAGAGGAGATAAGAAAGCAGAGCTCCCTGCCAGCATCTGGGCATTCCTGGAACTGCTGCTCGAGGGTCCCTGCCCTAAGCTGCCCGTCAGGTTTCCACGTGCTCTTCTCTCCATTGCAGTCACATTGTTTAAACGTCCCAGGTACACGCAGCACAGATTCCTAGATCCCATTCCTTAAACCAGCATTGACTAAACTGTATGTGGCAAGCACATGGTTTTTCTCTTTAGTAATGGGAGGTAGGGAAATTGAAGCAAAGTCTACGCCCCCCCCCCCCCGCACCCAACTGAAAAAACAATCTTTGATTTGAAACTGTTCAGGTGCTGACAGGGTTCTTTTGTAACTGGCTTCGTGAAAACTTTACTAGTGTTGAGAGTGGGAAATATGTTCATACAAAATTCTTAGAAGTCTATTCTAAGGAAATAACCCAATACTGCCATCAAAAAATTGATATCTTGGGGATGATATAAGAAATCACTGCATTTGAAATTTATATAAGGGTTCTTTTAGAAAATCCTGCAAAAAGACTAGTGCTACCGAATATTCAGTGTACAAAGCCAGAATAATGGAAACACTGGCATAAGATAGTGTGCTCCTCGGAGAGACCAAGTCTGACTAAGTTTAATGGGTCGTAAGAGATGCCTTGGGAAAGTCCAGGTTAGCTGCCTGGTTAGGCTGAGCTGCTGCTAAACTCCTCTTTCCTGTTTCTCATTTTCTCTCATTGTCGACCTAGGGCAGCTGACCAAGTCCAGTGAGTCAGTTGGTACACAAATCCAGGCCCTTCGGCCACAGGGTAGAGCACACAGCAACAGTATCTAGGAGGAAGAGAGGGGTTCGAGGCATTTTCGCTATTTGCCATGTGTTTTCTCCCCTCAGTCCCCGTCACATGTCTCCGCCATTTCCCCAGAAACTCCTTATTCAGTAGCTCTGGATGCTATGTCATCGTCCGTCATCTGGGCTTCTCAGTCTCGTTAATAATAAGGCTCCAATGTATATATGAAAATGAATAAAATGATTTTTCTCTGGTTAATTAATTATTATGCTAACTCGTAGCCCGACCACAACACTAGAAGGGATGGGAGAAGGGGCCTTATTCCTTGCCCAACACAGACAGCTGAACAGACTGTCGCTGTTACAGACTACTGCCCTCTTCCTTAAATATCTGCAGTCCCAGCTTTCTGTGTGAAAGACTCATCTACCGACGGTGTCCTGGGAACTTGGTAGCATTCTTTGATTTCAGAATTTGTTTTTCCTCCATACTTTGCTGTGGGTCAAGTGCCACCTGCTGGCAGTCAACTGTTATGGCACTTCCCCCCCCCCCCCTTTTTCTGAGTAGCCCTGGCTGTCCTGGAACTCATTCTGTAGACCAGGCAGACCTCGAAGTTGGAGATCCACCTGCCTCAACACCTCCCAAGTGCTGGGCTTAAAGGCACGCGCCGCCACTGCCCAGCTGCATATATTTTTGATTGATTGATTGATTGATTGATTGATTGCCTCAAGCTCTCTTTGTAGGCAAGAATGACCTTGAACTACTGATCCTCAGGCCTCTACCTCAAGTGCTGGTGTTACAGCAGGTCTGGTTTGTGCAGTACGGAGGGTTGAACCCAGGGCTTCCTTCATGCTATGCAAGCACTCTACCTACTGAACTCTGAAAGTTTCCTTGCTGGGAACTGAACCTAGCACCTCAAGCATGTCAGGCAAGTGCTCTGCCACCGAGATACATCCCTGACCTGCTATTTCATCTTTATATGTCTGAAGTCTGTATGTCCATTTAAGGTGCTCAGTCTTGTCTAAACAGTTTAGTATTTTATCTGTGCCTTTGATGATGTGCTTTACTTTGTTTTCAAAGAGGCATTTCTACTGGAATCTCTATACTAGTTAATAAATCTGTACTGATATTTCCCTCACCTAATGACCACTGTCAAATTATAGTCTGTAAAGTATGCCTCCATACATTTTTTCAAAGGTCATTTCAAAGGTCACTTGTTCTGTCTCCTCGCAATCTAATGTGTACATAGTTTCTCCAGGATCTGGAGGACAGGGGAGCTTTAAGAACTTTGAGATTGTGTTCTGTCTTGAATAAAGCCTGAACAGGGTAGGAATGTATAGCTAAGAAGCAGTATGGAGATCACAGGTGGGAACCTAATGTTGCAAAGGGGTCTAAAGAGGTAGGTCTGCGGATAAAGAGCTTGCTGTGCAAGCATGAGAACCGGAGTTCTGATCCACAGATCTCAGTCAAAAGCTGGGCAATTATGGTGGCTTCCAATAATCCCCACACTAAAGAGGCCGGCCAAGACACGGGACTGCATTCCCAGGGCAAGTTGGCTAGCTTAGACTAGCCAGAATCGATGAGCTCTGGGTTTAAGAAACCTTGCCTCAAAAAATGAAGATAGAGAGTGATCAAAGCAGTGCAGGATCCAGCTGTTTCCACTTTCACCTTGCGCTCATGAGCAACGCTTAATCATGTGTGGAAGAATGAAGAATGTTAAGACCAAAAATTTACTTGTCCTTGACGCAGGACCGGAGTTTTAATGGGGATCAATGTGTATTGATAAACATACTTATCTTGTTGGTGTGACACAAATGATTCTTTCCTTTTGTTTTTTGAGATGGAATCCCACTGCATAGCCAAAGCTGCCCTAAAACTTATGGTCCTCCTGCCTCAGCCTCCTGAGAGCCAAGATTAGAAATGAACATCACGATTGGAGCCATAATTTCTTGATCTACTCTGCATTGGAGGATGCATAGTAAGGATAGAAGGGCTGTTCATCGGATCACGCTGAGACAGCTCGTGGCACTTCCATGCTCATCTCCTGTCGTAAACTAAAATAGGTGGCAGTTGGACTGAAGAGTTAAATAGAAAAAAGCAAGTTACAAAACTATGATGATGAATATGAAGCTTCTAACAAGAACTAAGTTTCTAAGTTTAGGAGGTAACAGGAAATATTTTCAAGGGAAAAGATCAAAATGTTATAATTTAAAATTTAAAAACCAATATAACAGAAATGTTTTTTAAGCCACAGTAAAAATGAAAGATAAACACAAACGGACAAGGGCCATGTGGCCTAAAGATGACAAAGTGCGATGGGCTTGTGTCATTGAAGGCACACATGCCTCGCGATGTAGAAGCAGAGATATGGAAAAGAGCACCGACAGACAGTTTACACAACAGTTTGAGTGCAATCAGAAGATACGAGAAGATGTTTGTTACTAACCAAAAATGCAAATTTAAACAAGCTGATGCCGGGGTACAGGTCAGTGGCGAGCATGGAAGCGCAGAGCCTGCCTTCTGTCCCCAGGACTACAGACAAGCAACCCCAGTGCAGAAAGCCACTTTGAACCTGTATGTAAAAATGTAAAAAAATAGAGCATCTAGCAAGACAGAATAAAGGAATGGTGAATTTACTCGGTGAAATATTATGTATGGTATGCTTTTTTGCTTTGTTTCTGTGTGTGTGTTCTTTTGTAAGGACTGTACCGAAGGCCTACATGTGTCGCACGTGCTCTGCCGCTGAGTTACATATATCCCAGGCCCTCGTGCTATTATTTTTAATGGCGGTTATGAAAATGATAGGGTATTTCAAAACTGATTATACATACATATATATATATATGCAGTATTTAAAATTGTATGTATATTGTAATTAGCTCGCTCACTGCACATATGAGGAAAGCAGTGGGGATGAGTTCACTGGTCATCTTACAGTGGCAGAGGTACTCCTAAGTTTTGTTGGTTTTGAGACATCATCTCCCTTTGTGGCTCTGGCTGGCACAGGACTAACTCTGAAACCCAGGCTAGCTTCAATTTGGCAGAATTCCTCCTGTGCTTGCTTTTCAAGCAGTACAACTACAGGCATGCACCGGGACGCCTAGCTCATGATTTAAATGTGTGTGTCTGTGTGCGTGCATGTGTGTGTGTGTGTGTGTGTTTCTCTACTTTACAAAGTTTCGTAGCTATAACTGCTCTGAAAGCTGAGATTTACCAAAATAAAAAGAGGCAAAAGTACACTTTAAACCTGTATTTAAAAATGTAAAAAAAAATCGAGCACATAATGAGGAGTTAAACTCATTATTCTAGTTAGTTTAACACTGGTACTCTCATAGATAGACAAAAAGACACAAATATACAAGTGGTAGAAAAAAGAATACTTAGCACCACATAGAGAGATTGAAATATGTATTTTTCCTTCCTGCCAAATTTCAGATGACTCTTGATAATCTATTCTAAAAATAGATATTCTAAAATAGATAATCCAAAATACGGTATTTTGTGTATGACTGTGTATGACAGTGATACTTTCTCACTTATTTAAACCACCCCAAGTCAATAGTAAGGCTAGCTAAACATTCAACAATAGCAGAATGGTCAGGTAGCATTCTCTCTGGAATATTATATAGCCATTAAAAATGCTGATTAGAGCTGGGTGTGGTGGCAATTCCAGTACAGGGTAGGTGGAACTCTGTTAGTTTGAGGCTAGCCTAGTCTACATAATGAGTTCTAGAACAACCAGGACTACATAGTGAGACCCTGTCTCAAAAAAGCAGAAAAAAATGGTGGGTTGATGACTGCATAAGTAGGGAAAATAATGCCTTTCATATAATGTCAGTTTTGTTTTTAAAGGGCAAGTAGTTATAGCATACATTCATTTAGATTAGACTCATAAAAATTTTGTACACCTGGAAAAATCTTAAAATATAACAAAATAGCTGACTTCACAAGTATAATATGGGTGTATATTTTATATGTATATGTATGAGATCAATTTTATTTTTTTCTTTTAATATTTTTTTATTTTATTGATTTTTATTGAGCACTACATTTTTCTCTGCTCCCCTCCCCTTCAACCCTCTCCCAAGGTCTCCATGCTCCCAATTTACTCAGGAGATCTTGTCTTTTTCTACTTCCCATGTAGATTAGATCCATGTATGTCTCTCTTAGGGTCCTCACTGTTGTCTAGGTTCTCTGGGATTGTGAATTGTGGGCTGATTTTCTTTGCTTTATGTTTAAAAGCCACTTATGAGTAAGTACATGTGATAATTGTCTTTCTGTGTCTCGGTGACCTCACTCAAAATGATGTTTTCTAGCTCAATCCATTTTCCTGCAAAATTCAAGCTGTTGTTATTTTTTTCTGCTGTACTCCCTTGTGTAAATGTATGAGATCAATTTTAAAACCAATACAAAATACAAGTTTTCAAGGCACTTTAAAGTTTGTGTGCATATACACTTATCCCCACCTCTGTTTCGGTCTCCTCTCTTTTCTCTGCTGTACGACGTTATTTTTATGAATGGGAGGCAGTGCTGATGTGGGGTAGTGAGTGTGTGTGCTTGTAATCAGGTATAAGGTGGTATGTAACGAGAAGGGAGTCAGTTTCTCTCTCATTTGGTAGGGAAGGAATTGCCAGGCAGAAGGATTGATGGCAGCCTAGCAGCAGTATGCTGCAGCTGGCGAGCCACAGTAGTGAGACGGCCAGAGGATGAGGACAAGTCAGGCCAGCATCACTAAGTTTTGTGTTTTGTGCTAAGGAGTAGGGCTTTTTTCCTGGTGTTGGCGAGGACTTATTGAAGAATTTTGGTATATTTCAGTATGCTATTGAGTCAGGGGCAGAAGATACAATTGCAGTCATTCATTTAGCAAACAGTAAGCCCTTGCTGTATGTCATACGCTAAGGAAACAAGCATATGGGAGGTTCTTATTTTTCAAGTGAGACTAGACAAGTGGTCACCTAGTGAAGCCATTTTCAAGGGGTACTAACGTGACAATGCAGTGCATACCTGTACCCTCAGAATTTTGGAGGCAGAGGCAAGAGGATTGCGAGTTTGAGACCAGCCTGAGCTACATAGTGAGACTGTAGCTGTAGAAAGGGGGAGGTGGGTGTGGAAAGATGGCTCAACGGAGCAACTGCTGTTCTTGCACAGGACCTGGGTTCAGTTCCTAGCACCCACGTGGTGGCTCAAAACTGTCCATAATTCCAGTTATAAGGGATATGGTGTCCTTTTCTGACCTTCAATGGCACCGGGCACACACGTATACACATGCGGGAAAAACACCCTTACACATAAAATGGACACAAACCTTTTTAAAGGAGGGGTGTTTGGAGCCTGATTAGGATGCGAGGCCGAGTAAGGAGAAAGCCCCGTTAGTTTGGTTTCCTTGTTTCGTACAAATGAGCGTGTATAAAACTATGCACTTCCCCCAGTAAACAAACAACATGCCAAGGGTTGGTGGATTTTGTTTAAGGTCTATTTTTTTAAACAAAATTGCATGGTATTTCAAGGTGATGTGTTGGATCCTGTGAGATTCTTGCAGCATGGTTATTAAGGGCTGATTTGGGCCAGGATATTCAAGGATTTCACCTGTTTTCCTGCAAGCTTCTCCTTAATCTTCTTAGTATTCACCACAGCCTCTTCCAAACTACATTTAACAATCATGATCCTTATTTATTTTCTTCTTTTTCAGTTATGAATTAGTTTACCATACTGATGTTTTCAATTTTGTGTGCTCAGTCCCTGATATCCTGTATTTTATACAAGATTTATAGCTTTACTTGGTGATAAATTAGTGTTGATTTGCTAGGTGATGGTTTTGATGACCTAGGAGACTGGAAATGAACAGCTGGAGGGGCTGGATGTTAGTGCACAGTTGAGAGGGTTGCTTGAGTCGAAGCTGATAGTAAGTGGTCAGTGCACTAGCAAACACATTCATAGCTTTTGCATTCCTAGGAAGTCCCGAAACCTTGCAAATGCTAGGACTAAAATAATAGCTGCGCAGAAATGAGAACTCCCTGTATCAGCAAAAGACTAGTGCGGCATTTTTAATACTGATTGTGATAACTCATTAATGGGGCATTATAACTTAGTGAACTGCAACACTGGTATACATTGTCGTACCTAGGATATCTATGATATATGAGATCTACACATGAGAATTGCAGGAAACTTGTTTTGGGTGGAAATCTGGTGTACTTGTGAGTACTAAGAATGCGAAATGTCATGGCACTGTAGAATTGACTGTGAGCTCTGAAGTAAGACCTGGATGCACATCCGGGCTCTACTACTTAGAAGGATGTGCAACTACAGGGTTGTTTCAGAAAGGGAGTGCAGAAGCAGAGAGATGGAAAAGTCATAGGGACTGCTGTGTCTGTCCTTAAGCCTGGAAGCGTGGGCTCCTGCAGACAGGTGGAGAGAGATGAGGGAGGGAGGGAAGGAGGGAGGGAGGGAGGGAAGGAGGGAGGGAGGGAGGGAGGGTCGGGTCTTTATATGCCAAACTAAATAGTTTGGATTTTGTCAACTTGGTCCTTTCTTTAGTCGTTCTTAACTGACTTTGTCCTAGAACACCTCAGAAAATCTAATGAAAACTGTTTCTTTGTCCCTTGAAAATGAAAACAACACAAATTTTCCTTATAGTTTCAGATTTCCTAAACCCTGTTCTGGATGCCAGAACCCTCACTTCCACATTGAAGAGTCACTGAAAGGAATTTAGCCACGAGTTCCATCTCTTTCAGGCTTGTAGCTTAGAAATACATCTCTAACTGTAGTTGGCCGACAAATTCGGGGGAGAGAGGCTGTGACTCAGGAAATCGGCTAGGCCTTCAATGGTAATCTACCTCAGAGTAGATGAAAGCAATAGTGATTAGCATAGAAGAGGAAATAGAGTCAAGAGCCATCTACTAGTAGAACAGCTAGGAATGTGACCAGGTAGATAGAAATGACATAGAAGAGGTGGGCAGCGTGGACTCTGTGTGTAGATGACTCTTCTGTTGAGGTACATCAGGATTAATGTGCTTACATCTTATTAACAGTATCCGTTAGAGAGCTGGTAATAGGACACAGCCCTGGGCCTTCTTTATCTTTAGTATGCATACAGAATATCTTAGGAGCTTGTTAAAATGCAAACTCTGGTTCAAGAGGTCTGGGACAAAACCTGGGAATCTCCATTGACAGAAACCCTCAGTGAGGCTGCCCACCACTAGCCTATAGACTATGCTAATAACAGCAAGAGACTGTAGCTAAGGGCAAGCACTTTAGTGAAATGATAGGCTCATATTTAATAGCATCATAGGTAGTTAATAAAACTACGGAAATAAACCACATCTCCTGGAAAGAATGTATAAAATAGAGGAGATAAAACAAATATTGAGCCTTGCGGAATGGCAGTTATTAAAGGAAACTAAGGTTTATCTCAGTGTAGAGCGCATAGTTACCATGTGTGAAGCTTTGGACTCCATCCCCAGAGGACACACACATGGGCAGCTCATAAAAGACTATGGTGAGATTTTGAGGAGGGATGGTCAGCTGGGCATGGTGGCACACACCTTGAATCCCAGCACTTGGGAGGCAGAGGCAGGTGGATCTCTGTGAATTTGAGGCCAGCCTGGTCTACAGAGGGAGTTCCAAGACAGACCGGACAACAAAAAGAAACCCTATCTGGGGGTTGGGGGTCAAAGAATTAGGAAGTCTCAAGAATGACTTTCCCCGCAGAAAGACACATTCGAATAGCAGTGTTTGACCCTGTTTTGCATACATTCACCACATGGGTGATGGTGTCCCGGAGGAGCAAAAATTCATTACTGAAGGTGAACTAACTTTAGTGTTATAGTAATTTATAGTCGTCCAGAGGGACTCAGTACATAAACAGATGTACAGTGTATCTACCATATTAAAATTTCATGGCAGGAGGAGGTGATTAAGGAAAGCTGTCTTAAAGGGATCCTGGAGTGGGAGCCAGGCACAGTAATGAGAAAATCGTTGAGAAGCAGTACTATAGAGAAGATCTGTACGGGGGTAGATGAAGCTTCAGAGGGTGAAAAGGACCGGGCCGGGAATCTAAAGAGGTAGAGGAAGGGTACGTCAGTAAGCCTCAATAGCATTTGCAGAGGCAAAGCAGCATAAAATAAGACGTGAAATCAACATCAATTGAATGTGAAGCAGCACCCCAAAAAGCAGGGAGGCCTCAGGTCCAGCTTAGAGCTCATATTGCCGGAGGTGGGGGCGGGCTATAGTGTAAACTGGACAGTGACAGAAGATGAGTTAGGCTTCGTGGAAAACAGAATCACACAGTTAAATGGTGCTAATTTTGCCAGGGAGAGTCACCCCTGGTGACACAAACCAGTAATCTCAGCTATTTGGGAAGCCAAAGCAGGAAGTCTGCAAGTTCAAGGCCTGCCTGGGCTGTCGTCATAGATGACTGTGGCAGGAATGTGGGGGTTACCTATGAGCAAGGGGAGAAGCCTGTCAGGCTGCCTGCTTCCGTGTGAAATGACTCACTTTCCTATTTCATTTGCCCATGAACCTCTTTGAGTCATCGGATTCTTCTGAGGCCAGTCTATTAGGAACTCACTTTGTTCCATCCAGATTTTCTTAAAATGGAGCTCACCCTACCGTTGTAAACAGCGCTAGAGGATTATTAGAACCTGCCACAGGACAGTGACTCAACTTCCTCAATTTGTCTAGATGACATTGGGCTGTTCCCTTTAGCTAGTCCTCAGCCCTTCACCTGCCTGGTATGTCTGTCTCCATTTGGTTCTAAATCTTAGCTCCCAACATCTCTCTTCATCCTGTTCTGACAGCACACATAAGACCTGCATCTTCAGCTCAGCTACACTTTTCTCCAGCCCTCAGTTCTGTCTTCTTCCCTCTCACTGCATGGCATTGCAGCCTTCCACCTGACCACATAGAGCATCTTTGCCTCCGCCCCTGTAGGAAAGAGATCATTGTCCAGACGATTGTTCCAGATGTTGTTTCCCGTGTGTTCCACCAGGGGGCAGTGAATGATAGACAGAAGGCTTTGTTGTGTGCGGCCTGGCAGAGCCGGGCTTCTAACTTGTACTTACTGTCTAGTTAAGGTCAGTCTGCAAGAGTTGGAGTCCCAGGAGCCCCCATCTTTTTATATATCAGATGGAGAAAATCAAAGTGACTGTACTAGAGGCCCAGTTCTCCGAAGAGCTCTGTACATAGCAGAACGTGTTACCGTGGCAGCCAAACGTTCTCCTCCACCCACCTGTCCTCAGCTCCAGCCTTACCAACATGTAGATAACTACATGAAAAGGAGATCTGGATCCCAAGACAGCCACGTCATCTCACCACGAAGACAGACACCTCATTTCATCCGTGGGTCCTTGTCTCTTGCTGCTCAGACCTTTCCCACGCTGGCACCTACAAAACAAGCACAGTACCAGGGAAATCAGTGGGCAGCCCAAACTGTTCTCTTGATACATATTAACTGATCAGGGGCCAGTTTCTCCATAATAAAACTGTCACCTGGCCACTAGAGCAGTAACCAACTAAGTCCCTATGGCACTCTCCCCTACCCTCCAGTGGATGAGGTATGTTCCTATGGTCCCTGTAGAGCTGGGACAGACACTATCATAGTGGATCCAAGTGCCATTAATTCTGAACACAGAGCCTAAGAATTCTCAGCCATTCTGAGCCTCAGTAATTTTTAGATCCATCAGTTACTACCTCTCTGGGCCTCCACGTCCACATAAATTACAGGTAGTAATAATATCCACTTCATGGGATTATAAGGATTAAATGCGATAATCACATTAAAGATCATGGTATTTAGTAAGTATTGGTTAAAAAGTCATTTACCATACCCACACTGGATTCTACCCTGGCATCTCAGGCAACCTCTCAGACAAAGCCCTTGGTTCAGTAGCTCTAGCTGCTTGTGCAGCTGAGACCAGGCCTGGTACACTGGCATTTCCCTTTCTGATTATACCACTTTGGTCTGAAATTTGACTATTGTACTACCCATATCAGAGTTTTATTTCAGGGTATGGCTACCAGCAAGCCTCCACCCTCCTACACCATGCCTACTCTTGCAGAGAGTCCCCTTTTAACCAACCGCTCACTCTGCTACAGTCCAGCTCACTCCTTTGAAGCAAATAAACTGACAGCAGTGATGATTTAGAAACCTTGATGTTCAAGATTTACCAGCAAAGGCGCTCGCTCTCTCAGCTTCATATCAAGGCGTTCTATAAAACCAAAGTCTGGTCAGTACCTTGGAGCAGGTTTTATCAGATCCTCTATCTCTTCATCTTGGTCTTGAGCTGCTTTCTGAAAAAAAAAGGGGGGGGGGGAATCTTTCTGTTGGTATAATCCTGTCAGTGTAATTACTATCCAGAAAATCCTTTCCATGATCTGAAACCTTCTAATCAGTTCCTGAGTTTAAGGTCTTCACAGACCTTACGTAGATCAGGAACGGTAATGAACAGCAAGTTCCTGTACAGCACTCCCGCCTCCCTGCAGCAGATGAGATGTTGAGCCCCTCGTAGAGTAGGTGTGATTCTCTTGGCAGTGTTTTTATAAATTCACCTAATACGATGCTAGGCTCTCTGGGCGAGGTGCTAATGCAATGATTACAGCGGTACTTTTCCCAGGCTCATTCCGCAGAAATGAACATAGCGCCTCCCTCCAAACTACATTTTTGTGTGTGTGCCAGAGTTTGCATGAGCTGGATGTGAACCTTTGTGAAATGAAGTTTCCTAGGTGACTGAAAACGGCAGCAGCTCCATGGTCCCTCTGCATCTTTAGCACCCCAGTATCCATCCCCTTAAGATAACGTTATTTAGTTCTCAAGCACGCACACGTACACACACACAAGACCTTCCAGTAACTTAAGGTCTCCATTTACTTCTCAACTTTGGGCTGTGTGGTGGTCTGAATGAGAAAGACCCCCGTAGGCTCATATATTTGAATGCTTGGTAGAACTGTTTATGAAAGATTAAAAGGTGTGGCCTTGTTGGAAGAGATGGGTGACTGGGGGCAGGTTTTGAGATTTCAAAAGCCCGTGCCATTCTTCGTTTTTGTCCAATGCTTGTATATCAGATATAAGCTCTCAGTCTCTGCTTCAATGCCATGCCTGATTACTGCCATGCTCCCTGACACGATGGTCATAGACTAACCTTCTAGAACTGTGTGCCCACATTAAATGCTTTATAAGTTGCCTTGGTAATGGTGTCTTACCATGGCAATTGAAAAGTAGCCAAGACAACCTGCAGTCTCCACTGTCATCAGCTTGCAGAGGTAGGGGTACTGTCCCCTCTTAGAAGGATCAGGATATTCTGATCCCCTTCCTTGTACCAATTCTTTAGGAAGCTGTACCCAAACAAGGTCTATTGCCCCAAGTAATAACCAGAGCTCTTAGTGATCAAGGCCACTTGGAAGATAGGGAGGTGCTTCCTTAAAGGAAAAGAGGCAGCATGTTATTAGGAGCCCAAACCATTACCTTCTGGAGCGGCCAGAGCAGACTTGGAGACTAGATTATCAGGAAGCAATGGAACTGGTTCCAGCCCAACATTGTAATCATTCACCTCTAGCAATAGCATAGACAGCAGGCAGATGTTATCGTACACAAAGATTCAAGTTGATCATGGTACAGCCCAAAGGTTTATGTTCCTAGATGCACCATGCCCAACCATGGTTCCTCTTCCAACAGGCCCGTACAGCCTATTCACACTTTGCATATAAACTGTTGGAGAATCAGCAAGCTACCTGTGCGTTCATCCTAAAGTGACTATTCTTAAATCAGACCTGCTAGGGCTGTAGCACAAACGCATTCAGTTGGAACTAGTTTCTCTCTGGGTTCTTTTGAGGGTCAATACTATTTGAGAACTCTGGCTCCAAAGGATCTTTTATCTGCCTTGTACCCGGCCTACCTCTCGTGTGCCTCTGTTATCCTTCCAGTTGAAATAAAGCAGACTAAGGGTAGCCTCCAGGCACTTGGACCGCTGTTAGAATGAACTTCAGTGAGGATTTTCCTCTCCCCACATCTATAACATCTTTAAACTACTGGTAGACCCCTCTTACTGTTCGCCCAGAACAAACTAGGTGCTGCTACCTTCTTCCCCTGAGAGTTCCTTCCCATTCGGCAGTACCAGAGCACTGCTCTGTAGTTGTAGCTGGATGAGTCAGCAGGCCCACCACGATCAGACTCCAGTGTTCACCCCTAACCACTCCCTCCAGCACACTTCCCCAGCAAACTTCCTTCATGCCAGCTCTAAGCATCAGTAACCAGGGTTTGTTAAGTTCCTAGACAACTCATACATGCAGTCCGCAAGGACACGTTCAGTTGGTCTTTACCAACAATGCATAAGGCTTAGGGGACTCTGAAGCCACACTGTCTAGGTTTAAATCCCAGCACTGTCGCCTCCTACATTGACCTTGAATAGCTTAGAAGTTCTCTCCTCAGTTTCTTCACATCTAAGCGGTGATGATGATAATAGTACCTATCTCGTGAAGCCATTGTATTATAAGGAATACTAACCATGCACTATAAAGAACAGCAGCTCCTGATACACACTAACCCCCAGAGAGTGCGTGCTGTTAAGTTCTATATGAATTCTGCCGACTGGAGTCTCTAGCTGGGTGACACCAGATACATTGCCTTTCAGCACAGATCCACTTCCACAAGCCCAAACTTGAAGGACTCTTGCCCAGAAATCTTTGAAATGAATTTTAGTCATCTACCCACTGCCCTCCTACAGCAGAACATCTCCTTTACCTTTGTGTCCTTCCTCCGCCATGGTCGCTCCTCCCGGCTCTCACTAGCCCATGGTGTAGTGCGGCTACATTGTACCCTGCCGCGTGCTCCCATAGACCTGAAATCTGAGAGAGAGCAGTTCTCTTATTTTTCCTATTCATTTGTTTGTTTATTTTAGTAGGATATTAAGGGAACAGTTGTATCGTCACAGAGAGCCAGATTTCTAGCAGGTTCACAATTGGCCTACTGCCTGATTGACTGGCAGAGCTGTTGACGAGGAAAGGTTGGTGCACCCAGGGGACACTGTTCTGATAATCCTGTTATAGCTATGCTCACCCCAATCAACGTTAGTACTCTCTCAAGTGTGAGTCTGGTAGTCCCTTTATTTAAGGCCCAAGTACCAGGACTGGGAGTGAATTATACTCTTACTTGGGCCCTGCCCCTTCCTCCACCCCTACTTCCTGACCCTGGAAGAACTGAACTCCTCTATTCATTCCTACTGATGAAGGCAAAAAAATCACAGTGTTCTGCTCAGTGGCCAGCTCAGGGGTCATGAAAGCAGAACAAGGATAGCAACAACAGATGTGCAAAGGAGAGAGAGTCCTGGAGCGGTCTTGTCGGTGTCACCAGCAGAACTCAGTGACAGAGCCAGTCTCCTTGGCACATGCTTATCCTCCCAGTATGTGGGGAATGAGGCAGGAAGATTGCCATAAGGGTGACACGAGCCTGCATTATTTAGCAAATAAATAAACAACCCTTGGTGATTAATTGGCTGCTGAGCATAAAAAAAGGGGAATGGCAAAAATATCGAGTTCCTTGCCCAAGTAGGTGGAAAATGTTGTTTTCAGCTGAATCTGGAAACAGTGATCTAAAAGCACATTGAAGCTAATGGCTCAGTGGATAAAGCACTTGGTGTCAAAACATGAAGATACTGAGGATCAAGGTTTAGATCCTCAGTATCCATGGAAATAAATTGTGGAGGTGGCAGCCTGCTTGTAATTCTAGGGCTCAGAAGGTAGAGACAGGATCCGCAGAGCAAGCTGGCTAGCTTGTATCAGTGAGCTCCTGGGTTCAATTTAGAAACCATGCTTCAGTGAGTAAGGCGGAGGAGAATGAGGAAAACTTCAGATATCAACCTTGGACCTCCATACGTGTTGTCCACACACATGCATGCATACATACTTACCATCAAAATAAAGAGGTGCTGTAATGGTTAACGTTGTAACACCTTATCAGTTTGACAGGAAGTAGACTCGTCTGGGAGATAGATGGGCTTCTGACATGCCTGTGTGAGGTTATCTTGGTTACATTAATTGACGTAGAAAGACCTCTCTTACCTGTGAACAGAACATTCCCAGAGGATCTTGGACTGTTACCTGGAGAACAGGAACTAGGAAGCAGCCATGTGTTCATCCCTCTTCTGATAGGATGTAAGGAGACTAGATGCTTCAAGCTCCTGATGCCATGATGGTCTGTGACCTGGAATTAAGCTAAAATAACCACCTCCTTCCCTTTTTGTTGCTTTTGTCAGAGGATTTTATCACAGCATCGGGAAAAGGAACTAAGGCAGAAATTGGTACCAGGACATGCTTCGTGGCTGGGATAAACCTGACTGCTTGGTCCTTGGGCCTTTGCAACTGTTTGTGGCTGGAATGTGGACACGTCCGGTGCTTTGGGTTTAGAAAGGCTGTTCAATGCCGGAAGTAGAACTTAATGGGCTGTTCCGGTAACTTGGAACACAAGCATGCTAAGAGAAATGTGTTCTGTGAAGGGCTGGTTCATGAAGTTTCCGAGGGGAACAAAGACTATCTGTAACCCAGATAGAGTGCATTTGTGTGATACTCTGGCCAAGTATCTGCCTTCATTCTGCCCGAATCCCGAAAGCTGTAGAGAAGCTGAGTTGAAAGATAATGTCCTAGTTAGTTAGTTTGACAGGTTGGTGCTGCGAAGGCAGCAGGAATGAGTAATATGACTAGATCAGAACTACTGAAGAGAAACCCCCTGTACTGTGCTGAGATAACCGGCAAAGTGCTCCAAGGGGAACCCTAAGCTAAGGGAGTCCCCTGCCCCTCAAAAGTGACTGCCTAGGATAGAGAATGGTCAAGTGTAAGTTGATTGTTGGGTATCGAGTTGACATCCTGAACTCAGTATGTTCAAAATAAAACTACGCCATTCTTGAGGCCATAGAAGCCAAATATGTTGGAGTCATTCTTGACTCTTTCTATTCATGATTCACATCCAATCTCTTAGATGATTTTTCAAAGGAAAGTAATTCTGTCTTCAGATGTCCAGAATCTGTCATGTCCTTCTACCTCCTGCCTGACATCCCTCATGCCAGCTACTAACATTTCTCTTGGTTTATTGCAGCAGCTCCCCAGCTAGTGTTCTTGCTTCTAGCTTTGTCCCTTTTGTCTGTTCTCAGGACGGCCACAGTGACCCTTTTACAAAATAAGTTAGATTCCATCATTCCTCTGCTGCATTGGCTGGCTGCCTCCCTGTTTGATGTAGAGTAAAAGCAAAAAAAAAGCCCATCATGCTGTGGTCTGTTCATCCCTACCAAATACTCCTGTCTCCGTTCCTTGGTAAAACTATTAATCTCTTCCTTCCTTCAGTGTTGTCTAGCCACTGGACTCCTTGTGCTAGCCCCAGGCCTTTCCCATTGCTGTCCCCACTTCCTCCTCATTCAAAGAATGCCACCTCATTCCCTTAAGGTCCTCTCATAGCATTTTCTCTGTGTGGCCTTTCTATTCGTGCCTGTAGCTCCACTGCCTAGAACTGTATCTAGCATATAGCAAATCCCCAGTGAAAATGTTTGCAGAGACAAATGAGCGTGAAAGTTGGAATAGACGGCAGAAAGAAAAGGAGGAAATACGAATTTCCAGCCATGGGTGCGAGTGCTACCAGTCAAGTTATTGATTGTCAATGTTTAGGAAATAGAAAATAAAGTGATTAAACTGGTAAGATTAGCAAATGCTTTATCATCGTAGGCTCTCAGTATATGTTGACTGAATCAATGGTAATCTCTTAACAGACTGAATGAAATTATCAGAACAGAAAGAGTGGGGAGGGGAGGAAAGGGAGGTTGAGGTTGGGGAGAGGGGCAGGGGTGAGAGAGAGATTAGAGAGATTATCCCAAAGTTAGATAAGCAGTCGGAGTGTAGTTGATTTCATGAAACATTAACCCGCTGAGCTGTTATGTGAGTGTTGCATTTGAATGAAGGAACCACTAGAGGGAGGGCAAGGTTCAGCAAGAGAGTTCTTGATGAACTCATCCTCCAGGCATTGGCTTTTCTATGTGTCCATCCCATCTTCATCTGCGTTCTTTCATCAGTTTAGTCTTCTCCTGAACTGATTTCTTTCATGTGTCTTTAATAAATAGTTATAATTTTAATGGAAGTATGACTGTTTGGAATCAACACATTGTCACCTTGAAATCTGTTTTACTAATTACTAATTTACTAATTACTGTGGCCAGAATGTCCCTTGAGGATTCATGCATCAGTTCCTAAGCTACCGGTAGATATGCTATTTGTGGAACTTTGTTCTTAAAGAATCATTAGGCAAGAAGAGCAATGGTCATGGAGTTTGTTTACTTGCAAAAATGCTAGTGTCAGACCATTGGGTAAATTGGGTACTTGGGCCGAGAGTCTTTAAAGCTGGGCTGACCTGTGCACGCCCTCCCCCTGCAAGGGCAGACAGCTGATAAAGGCCCTGACTCCCTGAGCTTGTTTGAGTCCGTGGAAATTATTAGCTCTACTTCTGCACACAGAGATTGCATTGCTTGAGAAGCCTGCTGTCTACGGTGCGCTTTAGGGCTAGAGAGTTGTTTGGGATGAGCAAAGTTTAACAGCCTGCTTTATTGTCTTTATAATCATTGATCCCATTGAAATTTGCGGAAAGGATTTCAGTTTCTGGATTTGTGGCCGAGCTGGATTCCTGAGGAATGTAGAGTCCGTGAGCTGTTGGCAACTCATGGTTGAAGTCTTTTACTGCCCTTAATCTAGGCCTATGAGTTAAGCCCTCAGTATTGTGGATTTTTTTATTAATAGAATAATTTCAATTGGGCTAAGAAATAGAACTTTTTAATAAACTTGACTTACTAGAAAAAATATTATTTTAAAAATGAACAGCTACTACAGACTTCCTGAACACGCCACAGTTTCCTTTGCTTGTCACATGCTTGACACAAGCATGACAGCACACTTGGTCCAGCAAAGGAACCACACTAATGCATCTGTGTGAGCTGCGATCAGGCGCTGATTCAGATCGCAGCTCGTCTTCCCTCGTGCCCTTTTCTTTCCTGCTAGGAGCGCACCCAGGACCCCTGGGCGTCATCAGGACTGCCCAGGCTCTTCTTGGCTGCCAATGCATCGCATACTTTGTTTTCATGATTTTCAGTTTTCAGAAGTACAAATATTTTTATCTATGACATAGTCTATTTAATGGAATATTTTCAAGGAGAACAAGAAATACAACTATTCTTTTCTTTTTTTTTCTCTTAGCACCTCTTTTTATTTTAATTCGGAGCAGTTCCTGAAACTGCTCCTTGCAAAAGGAGGGTGAATATCCTTCAGTCTGTGATTTGTAAATCCGGTGTTCTCTCTAGAGAAAGCCTTTCCGTTATCCACAGTCTGCAGACTCATGCTACCGCCTTGTCTCAGGAAAGTTAAATGGAAACTGTAGATGCATATTCAAAATATATATTTCTAATTTGTTGATCGTTTACTTTCTATATTTTCTAATGTCAGAATAGTAAGAACCCTTGTTTTCTTTTCTATTTTTTTGGTGGTGAGAGGGGTTTGAGATAGGGTTTCTATGTATAACAGCCCTGGCTGTCCTGGAACTCCCTCTGTAGACCAGGCTGGCCTCAAACTCAGAGATCCACTTGCCTCTGCTTCCTGAGCACTTAGATTAAAGACATACTTCTTTGCTATTGGGCTGTCAGACTGCTATTTTATAAAATGAAATCCAACACTTCCCCATACCTGCATGGTGTTAGAGTTGTAGAAATACAAATATATTGAAAGTAAAAGGAAGAGGAAAATGATGAGCTTTGTAAGCAACAACTCTAAAAAACCACATTGAATACACAAAGTAAAAAATAGACTTTATAAGAGAAGTATTGCTAGGAATATAAATAAACATTTTACGATGATAGAAAGGGTAAAGCCAGCCAAACCTGGTGGTGCAAGTCTTGTTATCCCAACTATTTCAGAAACTGAGGCAGGAGGATTGCAAATTCTGGGCTCCACAGTGAGTTTAAGGCCAGCCTGTCTTACATTTGAAGATGAGAAAAGAGTGCTAGGGCTGTAACTATGGTAGAGAGCTTGTCTAGCATGTATGAGGACTTAGGTGCAATCCTTGGTACCGCAAAGAGAAAAGGTCAGCTCATCATGAGCACACAGTCAGTACACACCTGGAATCCAAGCACTGTGGAAGCTGAGCCAGAAGCACCATAATTCAAGGCTGACCTGGGCTACATAGCAAGACTATCTCAAAAAAAAAAAAAACAAGCATACAAAAACCAGCAGCAACAACAACAACAAAAAAAATGTATGTACCTGACAGTGAACCATCACAACAACCTAATAAAATAACTGACAGAATGGATAGAGAAGAAAGAAGAAAGATACAAACAATAATGTGAGGATTCAGTACCCTATTAATGGTTATCAAGTAAATATATATATGTATATTTATATATGTAGATAGAGGAAATAAAAGACTGAGCAACACTGCCAACTAATGAGACCTGGAACATCTGTGGACACTCTACTAGAAAACAAAATAGACAGTCTTAAGTGTACGTGGAACATTCTCTAGAATGCACCATAGGGCTAAACCATAATAATATAGCACAGAAGAATGAAAGAGCCACTGAGATGCCTTAGCAAGTATCTTGCTGCCAACCTCTTTGAAATTTCTTTTTACTTTAACTTATTCATATGTTATACATTATGCATGTTTTGTCTGCATATATGTCTATATACCACTTGGATGCTTGGTACCCAAGGAAGCCGGAAAAAGGTGCTGGAACTTCTAGACCTCTAATACAAAGTGCTAAAGACTGAACCCAGGTCCTCTGGAGGAGCAACAGATTGCTCTTAGCCTCTGAGCCATCTCTCTAGCCTTACTTGATGCCAAGTTTAATTCCCCATACCTACATGGTGTTAGATTACAGCAAGTTGTTCCCTGACCTCCACATGTGAGCCATAGTATGGAAGTGCACAAATACACATAAATAAATAGATAAATATTGACAATTTTTAAAATTAAACCAATGAAATTATACAAACTATGTTCTCTGCTCCAACTGAATGAAGGTTGGAATCAGTAGCAGAAAAAAATATGAGGAATTTACAAATATTTGAAAATTAAACTACAAATTTCTACATAATGTGTCAAAGAACAAATCATAAAAAAATTAAACTATTTTCAGGGAAATGGAAATGAAAACATATCATATTTATGGGATGCAG